GTTGCTATTTATTTTACATTAGTTGAGTAAAGTTAACATAACAGTAAATTACGAGTATACGAATAGATTGCTGTTATGAACACAGATCAATGTATAAAATTATTGAGTAGCCGCCTCAGATTGCCGCACTAACAACCACGCTGCAACGTGATTTAAATGGGGCATTTAAATGGTAGATATAACATGGATGGGGGTAGGACATTCTAACATTTGCAAGCGGTTATTTTGAAACAACCCTTGGTTTTATGTAATGAGTGCTTGGGTAGGATTAATCGATGGTTACGTGACCTTGTTTCATACCCATGTATATCCGACGACCATGTGAGTTTGTCTAAAGATAAATAGGAGCTTTACTTTTAATTAAAGACCTGACGAAACATGTAAGTTTTAATATACGCCGGCTAAGCATATTCAAAATTTCCTTTTCATTCAAGTAGGGTGATATATAATGTCTTTTTGGGATGTCGAAAGTGAAGCGCATGCATGCGTTCTGCACTCTTTGAATGGCAGCTATGGTTTTCTTAAAAAGGCAAGGACCGTAAACGACGTCACAATACTCCAGATGTGATAACACCAGACTTTTACATAACTGTTGTCGCACATTAACATTTAAAAATTGACGCAATTTGTATAGTGTGTTCAGGGAGGCGAAACATTTACTAATTTTTTTCTGAACATAATCTTCAAATCTTAAAGTCTCATCTAGGTATAGGTTGCGGACGGATTCGCATCGAGGTATGATAGAATTATCGATTTTAATGTTAGGCTTAAAGGACTTTATAGTTTGTACTTGATTTTTAGTCCCGCATATGATAAACAAACTCTTCGAGGGGTTGAGTGCCAGACCATTTCTATCTGACCTTTTTTTTTTCCGTGCGGAAATCCCCTCGGATACCACCTGTCGGTGGCATGTCGGACTCGAACCGACTAAAACCGCACGCCGGCTCGGGTACTAATAGCCGGGGAACCAGGTATACCCTAGAAAGGAAGTCCCTGGTGCCCCGACATACCTCGGGTAATCTACAGACGAGTAGACGACCCCCCCGCCCCCGTGTGGGAACCCCATGTTCCCTGTGCTGCCTGGAAGCGAGCGCGCTTCGTAACGCGCTCGCCGCCACCCCGGCCTGCTTCTGCTAGGGTGACAGATGGTCACACCTGTCACCCCCAGCCTGCGGTACCTGGCCCGTTCCCGGGCCTGGTGGGCCGGGAGAGTCCTAAACCTCTCCCGGTCCGGCTCCGCCGTCTCCTTCGCGAGCATAACTTAACTAACTCGCAGAAGGAGACGGCAGAGTTCCACGCACTCTCGCTCCGCACGATAGCCGCAATCTATCTGACCACCTGCTTAAGGCAAGTAAATCATGATTGATTTTAGCTACAGTCGACGTCACGTCATCAGAGGTTGGTAGTGTGTTCAAATACAGTTGAGTGTCATCGGCGTAAAGATGAAACCTGCAATGTTTGATAACATTTGTGACGTCAGATGTGTAAATAGCAAATAAGATAGGGCCGAGGACGGAACCCTGAATCACACCCCTATTAATGGATATTGATGAAGATTTGAGTAACACACCCTTAGAGTTTACAAGTTTTACAAGTTGGGTACGGTCAGAAAGGTACGAGGAGAACCACCTACAGGAGTTGTCCGAGAAACCATAGAACTTAAGCTTTTTAATAAGAAGTGGAATATGTACACAGTCAAAGGCGCGTGTATAGTCGAGTAAAACTAGCATCGTACCAGATCCTCGATCCGAATCTGAGAGTATATCGTCAACTATGGTCAACAAAGCTGATGTAGAGTAGGTAAGATAGTGTTACTTTCAAGATAGCTCGCCACTTGCGCCTGTACGCATTTTTCAACAACCTTGGATAGGGAAGGCAATATACTGATAGGCCTAAGGTCGCTTACGCTCTCAATTTTATTATTTTTCGGTATGGGGTAATTAGGGCACATTTCCAGGGATCGGGAAAAACTCCATCTTGTAAGGATTTATTAACAATTGTGGATATAGCTGACAGTGAATGCGGTAGGGTCAGGTATAACATATACATAGAGATATCATCACAACCAAGTGAGTTCGAAGAGCCGGAGCTTATAATACGAGCTATTGTTTCGTCACAAATATGTTTGAAGTTAAAGGTGGAGTGGGCAAATAGTCACGTTATATGATTCGGCTTGAATATGACAAGCCTGTGGAATACTATTAACGAAGTGATAATTCAAGGTGTGGGGATCAGATAGATGGACAGGCAGACTATGTGTAGTGGATGGTTTTAAAATATTATTAATATGTCTCCACATAGTTGCAGGGTTTCTTTTGTTATCGTTTACATATTGATTAAAGTATTTTTTTTCTCCTGTTTTATAGTAAAATTAACAATATTTCTTAACAGGCGATAATAGTTTATAGCAACATCGGTTTTTTTTCTTTTTTGCTATTTTGCAGGCATCGTCTCGAAGAGAACGTAATATCATTAAAGAATCGGTCATCCAAGGTGTAGGTGGTTTTCTAAAAGTACGAGTTCGCATGGGTGCGAATGTGTCAAAAAGGTCTAAAATCAGGTAGTTAAACATAGAGACCATATCGTTAATGCTTTCACATTGGGAAACCAGTTCCCACGGATTGTACTGTGCCGCATTGCTAATTACCTTTTCATTGTCCCTAAGCGGTCTGTACGTAATCGTACGGGGAGTAGGCTTTATCACGGTAAAGTTGAAACTGGGCACTAGCAGTGCATGATCGCTTAAGACATCATTATGTATGGCTTGTATAGAACGAGGATGTGTGTGTGTTTTTGTAAAGATAATATCAAGTAAGGTTTCGGTAGTGTTGGTTATTCGCGTAGGCACCTTCACAACCTGGTGTAAATCGTATGACACCAGCAAATGTTTAAATAAATCAGGTGTGATAACATTTTTGGATGAATCAAAACAATTCACATTTAAGTCCCCACCAAAAACCAGAAGTTAGAGAGTGACTCAGAGAGTCAATCAATAGTATAGGTACAATTATATGTCGGTGAACGGTATGCTATTCCAATAACAACTTTGTGTCTATGTATGTAACACTCAAACCAAAGTTGTTCAAGCTCACTTTTCTTGTGTTCTAATTGACGTACACGTAATTCAGACCGAATGTAAGCACCTACGCCACCACCCCTAGTACTTCGAGGTATATGCAGAAACTTATAACCCGGTATATTATACGGTTTAATGTCTGAATCAGTTTTAAGCCAAGTTGCATTTAAACAAAGTATATCAAATTCGTGGTTTCTAAATGATTCTCTTAACTCGTTCCAACCCGTATTAATCGAACGAACATTTAATAACCCTAGTGTAAAATATTTATTCGTCTTAGAACAATTCATTGCGACTAGGGGGACTATAGACTACAGGGGAGGAATAAATAGGTACCCATATTTACAATAAAGGCAAGTGCTATTAAGTAATGTAGAAAAGTAACGTAAATATATTTGTAAAAGATAGTAGCATAATTGTTGAATCTAAAAATATGCGGGGTACATGCAAAATAATATCTGTTAAGTAAGCGACGGCTTAGGACCGGTTCCAATGACTGTAAGCAAAAAGGAGTATACTCGACTGTTATGTTGTTCTTACAAATGATATTGTATGTACAGAGTGCAGAGTGTTTGGATTTTGTGTCGTATTTATTGAAATAATTATTGTTTGAGCAAGAGGTGGTCAGGACAATGGCAGCATGATAAGAGTGTTCCCTTGCTGTGCCCATAATTAAATTGACGTAGTAGTAATGGAGCGGTAAACATAGGATAATACATACCAAAAAGCGAAAGTCTAAAGCGATTTTAATTCGTTTTTTTGACCTAATAATAATCTTATCATCGACGTTAGTTTTGCGCATATAAATTTTACAGTTATAGGTCCATACATATTAATATCCTTTTACCTTTCTTGCTTCCGGTATATATCTCTGAAATGCGGTGTTAGGTTTTCAGAAACGTATATTCTGTTATTATCATCGATATGACCAAGGTCGGACATCTTTAGATCGCGCCTTGTCCGAATGGCACGCAATAGGCTGTTTTTTATTTCACGATCGATGAATCTAACAATCACTGCTCTGGGCTTGAGTCTTACATGACTTTCGCTGGATCCGGCCCGTCTTACCCATTTTAAATCTGCTTTAGACACTGCCACGCCTGCTGACTGTGCGGCCCTCACCACCACGTCATGCAACTCTTCATTGTTGTATTCCGTAACACCGTGAAGTTCGAGGTCACAAATTCTTTCAGATTGTTCCAGTATATGGTTGCGTTCTTCTAAGGCAGATACGCTCATCTGGACAGCCTTGATTATGTCTGATAGGTTTTCTAAGTCCAATATCTTGGCTTCGACTATTGATATCCGCTGTTCCAAACGAATACCTTCAACGCTTTGTGGATTGTTCTGTGCTCGGTCACTCATATCCTGTTTAATGCTACACATCTCCTTACGTAAATCCTTAATATCATTTATTATTTGATTGGTGTCCACGGCACTGAGCGGGCAGGGCGAGGTTTCAGGCTTCTTAGGTTTGTTTTTATTAGTGTTAACTTTACAAAGCTCGCACTTCCAGTTAGTTGGGTCACGTGGACTCGCACGCAACGTGGTACATATGAAATGCCAGTATAGGCCACACTTACTACAAACAATGTATTTAGCTTCATCATCTTTGTTGAACCCGTTATGACACTTATGACACTTAGAGTTAAATTAATTTATGTCTAGGCAACAGTACGTGTAACCCGTAAGGTGTTCGGCGATACCTACTACACCCACACGGGTGTGTGGGTGTAGTAGGTACACCCACACTCTATAAAGATATAATACACCTCTTTTCTAAAGAGAGACCTATGTCTAATAAATATTGTACAGTACAAGAATAATCATGTATTTGTTTCGTGTCGAGGTTAAGAGTTATATGAAAGGCATTTTTTGTTTTCCTATTTTCTTATTGCATACCCAGTGATCATGCATGCCTCACCTGTCTTAAGGCACTCCAACCGATAAGCCCGATGCTCAGAGTAGTGAGCAACAAGGACATGCCCACCGTCACAAAGCTACATATTGTTAAAGCAATACCATCTTGTACCAAAGCTGCCATGTTCTCTTCGTGTGTAGCATTGAACCTGTAGAAAGGATCCTTATTAATACTGAAAACATTTGTATTCAGAATAGTTAGACATGCATTATTGTTATGAAATAATCAAGTCTTAGAATTAATGTTAAAAGCTTAGTTTTAATTGCTTTGGAATTAACACCATCACGTAATAACATGTCTGTCTATTTTGTCTGGTGCATGAGACAGTCGTGTGTGAGGTGTGTCAAGATATTAAGTCGGGTCGGATTTTGTTGTCTACTGCGACACGGCTGAACTTCGATTTTTATGTAAAGTGACTGCTATCAGACCTCCAGAACCCAAGTACTAGGCGATATCGAAGTTCTGTAGAAAGACTGTTGTCGGACTTTTTAGGGCTCCAACTACCCGTAGCAAAGAAATAGACCAAAGACCTAGTTCAGAAACGAACCAATCCGCAAATTGGTCAAAGTAATAATTTCCACTAACTATGTATAATCTGCACTTAATTAGAGAAATAATTCATTCGTGAGTTGTGATGAAATAAAGATTCCTAATCATTATAACAAAAAGCTGTTTTTACTTCAATTTTGGCCGGTTTTTGGATATTGGGATTGATATTGGTTGTGGACTTCGGTTTCCGCATTTATACTCAAGAGTGGTCCTTTATGCGACGAGGACTGGTTAGCTAGGTGAGCCAGCCAAGCTCCTTCCAGAATCGCAGAAGCCTAACAGGCTTCTAGGAGCGATTTTGTATCGCGAATGATACTTGCCCTTTGTGTGGCCACTCCCTCGCATTCCAGGATTACGTCGGTTTCTTCTGCTTCCAGACACCCCCCGCACAGAGGGCTGTCCGTGGCATTGATGATGAATAGTTGTCGATTCAGGGCTAGGTGTCCTGTTATAGTTCCGACAACTATTCTGATTTTCAGTCTGCTAAGACTGATCAATCTGCAGTTAGGTCGTGGTGTGACTTGAGTCAGCACCAGTTTGGACTGTCTTCAGCCGGGTGAGTCTTTCCACCTCCGGTTATGTGCTTCCCGAGTCCGTTAATCCGCTGTCCGCTGTCCGCTGTGCCTTTAATCAATTGGATGTGTACCACATTTACTGTGGCAAGCTGCTCCAATGCTTGATGTCATTCGAAGACAATACCAGAGGTCATTGTGTTGCCCTCTAGTGCCTTTAGGACGGCCATGCTGTCGGATAGTATTCGGATGTTATAGTCCTTGATGCCCCTTGATGGCCGTTGTGGCGGCCTAAGTTATTGCCACACATTGGAATATGGAACTGTGTTGGCCTAACGCTAGTGATATGTTCATATTTAGGTCTTGCGAGAAAACTTCGGCTCAAGTTCCCGACCTAGTCTTGGAACCATCCGTGTAAATTCGGACTCAGTTAATGCCGGATTGATCTCGGTTATTTTAGGTTTTTGGACAGAAAAATTTCTGCTCAAATCAAATGAATAAGTAAATCAAAATTGTACTTACAGCCTTGTGCCGCCACCAAACGTAGATAATATCGGCAAATTTGTACTATATCTGTCTGTCGGTGGATGCGTCCGCTCCACGAATGCCGTATTGATTTCTCCCAGTAATGCTAGGTTGATGCTTATTCCGCCCCCACTTAGGATTCCCAAGAAAATTCCTATACATGTTGCTAATTTCTCGATGGTTGTCCCGTATCGAAACTGTAAATATTTCCAAGTAAAGTTTCTGTTTATTTAGAAAAAGAGTAACATTTCATAAGTCATTAAAAACCGAAAGACATTTCTATAAAATCAAAATGTACTTAGTGCTTGTCATAGAATTACAAGCATGACGACGTGAGGAAGTTTTTTTTTTCAACACGCTTTAATTAGCTTCATTTGTATCTTACTAAAACTTACTGTATATAATTATGTAAACAAATCTTATAAGTCAGTTTTAATCCATGTATTGAGCACGAGTATGCACCTAATGTGTTTTGAATGACAAGTACTTTGATCTAAAATAAAGTTAGGAGGTAGACAAGTGAAATGCTTTAGTAGCTACTAATAAAGCCACTCGAATGTGAAATGTGAAATGTCGAAATGTGATTACGACGAGTCAAATAAATTGGGTTCCGTAACGATGGACTGATGACGAAACCAGGAAGCCTTTGATTTTTTTGGTTTCACCAATTAGAGCGTCCTTTTTTTTCTGTATTACGCCTACGACGCATTTGTAGAATGAGAATATTTGTCATTGATTTAATCACACTGCACATGCTATCATCACCATGCCATTTGTTATTGACATGACATGTATTAAAATTTGACATATTAATGACATGTCAAATATTAATACTGTGATACTAAAGTAGAGCGTTATACTTTTACTTTTGTTAACATTAAAAAAATACTTCTTAGCACGTGAGTGACTGTAATGTTAAGTTTACTTACAAGTTGCAGATAGGATATCGATAAAGTGCCATCTCCATCCTGTGGTTTACTGTAACAAAAAAAAAAAACTGATGAACACCTATTGCATTTCGAAATGTCGATGTTACACCATTTAAAAAAAAAAAGCTCTCTGTTCATTCAACAAGTTTGAGTTTGTTGAGGGTTATTATTTTTTTCAGATACAACGTGTTTCAGTAAACAGTCTAGATAAAAATAGATACTCAACACAATTAAGAAATAGTAAAATTTGCATCCTAGCTTCTTACGAATTTATTCACACAAACTTTGTTAATTTGTTATTAAATTCAAATGTGAATATTATCGTCCATAATATCAGTGAACAAGTTTAATAGATACTCAAGGTAGACAATTATCAACTATTTTTGCTGTATTAAAAAAAACAAAACATTGTAGAAACATTGTCTGTTACGTCAAAATATTTTTTCCTTAGAACTTCCTTTCCCTATTACGACATAAATCCTGACAAGACTACTCAATGCACAAGAGCATGAATAAAACGTCATCATCAATACAAATAAATAAAATTGAAGTGTTTGTTTGTAATGTCAAAATAATTAGTTTTTTTCATGCACATACGGTTATTTGCACGATACCTATGCCTAAAAAACAGTTTTATTTTATCTATCTGTCTGTCTGTTTGTTCCGGGTAATCTTCTAAGCGGCTGTAACGATTTTGATAATATTTTAGTACCAGGTAGCTGTCTATATAGGGAGCAACTTAGGTTATTTTTCTTTTCAGAAAAACCCTTTAAAATTTTTCTCGGTCCAGGAATCGAACCCACTAAGGCAGCGCTTTTCAAATTCTACCAGTACCAGCTAGTATTTTTATATATCCTCTTAAGATCCCATAAGCAACAGTCCGGGGAGGAGCGGTTTTTAATGACCTCTTGTAGTGACGACTTCACCACAGCAGGATAATAATACCTAACTCCAAAAGTTAGAATTCAATACAAGTTTATCATTTGATCGTTAGTTATAAATTGTCAAATGAACATTTTATGGTGTACAAGGGCCAATTTCTATTATTTTTAATATTGTAAAATCACATTTATTATAAGCAATAATTCAAAAGGTATCACTTACAGTCTTCGTTTTATATCTTTATTTTAGGATGCCGTACCGTTATACAATATGTAAAGAACAGGTGTGTTTAACGAAATATTAGTATTGCTAGTTAATTTTTTTTAAATAGATTACTAGTATATTTTTATCTTTAAAAAAACTTACAGCTATCAAGTACAATATGAAAATTAATAATAATCAATTATAAATGTGCACATACAAAGAATACAGAGTGTCACCACCCCTATTCATCCCGTGGGTTGTCGTAAGAGCCGACTAAGGGAGAAAACTACGGAGAACAACAGCAGTGCAGAGAGAAGGAAAAACTTGACAACTACAAAAAGATGCATGTAAGAGATTGCTTCTAGCAATAAGGCCGCCTATTGTACACACTGGTCAAGACTTTGTCACTGCAGTATTTGGTATGTCACGCGACTTCCCGAACGCTGCCCAGATAAGATAGATTCGACGATTAACGTCTTTTTCGAAGTTGGACATACCTAACTGGATAGTTTGTCCAAGGTACACGTAGTCGTCGCCAACTGCGAGTGCAGAGTCCCCAATTTTTCTGAAGTGGGTGCGTCATGGGTTTCGAAATAAGTTTCGTCTTATCCAAGTTTATTTTAAGACCCAATCGTTTTAGAGACCATACTATGGCCATTCAGTATTGTGCTAAGATTTTCCATGGTTTCAGCCATGATTACTATATCATCAGAAAATCCAAGCTGGGTAATGTTGATGTTAAGACCATTCCAGTCTAGAAGCGGAAAATGTCTTCCAATGCCGAGGTGAACAGTTTTTGGAGATATTACATCTCACTGCCTTACACCTCACTTTAGCTGTATAAGTTTTGAGCTCTGATCCTGTAGACGGACTGACATGTATCGGTAGTCGATTTGGCAGCGCTGGAGAGACTGTAGTACAGCGCAAGTTGCGATTGAATCAAAAGCTTTCTTATATTCCACAAACGCCTAGCATTGCGGAAGGTTATACTCTTCAGACTTCTGTATTACCTGCTGCAGCGAATGTATGTCGTAGATAATTATATTTTACTATAGCCTTTTTAGAAACGAAAACCGACTTGTTGGGGTGACTGGGAGTCGTCAAATCTACGTGCAAGACGATTCGTAATGACTCTCAAGAACAGATTATAGACATGAATCAGAAGAGAGGGTGGGGTCTATAGTGGGTTAGGTCTTTAGTATTTCAATAGGATGTTATTAAAAAAAAATTAGAATTCTTCTTATTTTCATTACTCTTGATTTTTTATATAAAAAATACTTCAGTTTTATAATATTATTATATTTATTTCAGATTTTTTTAATTTAGCTACATTAAAAAAGAGATCACAATCCGGCAATGTGTAATAATAAATGGCAGCTTTTCCTAAGTTTGGTCACAAATTAAATTTCTGAACGCACTCGTATTTGATAACCAACAAATATGTATCCTTTGTCATAATGGCGATATTTATTCGCATTTTTTAAATCGAAATACACGATAATTAGGATACTGTGTACTTTAAAATGTTCTTTAATTTGAAGACATCCGAGTTTATCGTACCGGCGACGGTCTCAGATGTTTAACATGAAAGAAACATATTGTATGGAAAATAAATTGTTGTCTCTACGATTTGCCATATTTTCTCACTACTATTTTCTAACTTTCCCTGGACTTCCACAAATATTTGAAGACCAAAATTAGCGAAATCGGTTCAGCCATTCAAGAGTTTTAGTAAGACTAACATCAATTTATTTATATATATATATATATATAAAAGAGAAGATATATGTTAAAGATATAGTGTGGGGTATTGAGATTTCAAAATATGTAATTTACATATACGAGTATAATAAAAACAAATGACGTCTGGGGCCCTATGATCTTAGTCCATAATATATATTTTAAGAAGTTTGTTTTAAAAATAATTTATAAAACTTATCAAGATAAAATAAAAATTTTGCGTGACGCAAAGGTCGTGGAGAAACCGGTATAATTAATTTATTGTTATTTACTACGTTCTTCTGGGCGGTTACAAGAGAAAAAGAAATAGATAAAACAGATTGGCCTTCTATACATGTTATAAATATTCATAGGCCCTGGGTGACATATTAGGTAGTTTAGTAGAATATCAACCGATCGGATTTCGTCACATTCTGAAGAAACGCGCCATCGTATCATCATATTTATAATGTGATTTTATTTCCTGTCAAACAATTGAAAACAACATTAATTTTGATTCAAATGTACTCTAGTGGATTTAACATTTATAACAAGTTTAAGTTCGGTATAACATGGCATAGTTTTATTTATTTACTTGGAATAGGTACATCAGCGAATTATTTACGACTAGAATCAGCATAAAAGTGGCATTGGCTTTGGTTTACTGTAGGAAATTCACTGTAAACATAGTGAATTTGTCACGAAAATCAGTAAAATCGCAGGAAATAACACGAAAAAATAAGAACACTACCTCTGTGGCTTTCCATTAGTTTATGTTAAGTAATCAATTTTAAATAATACGTTATGGGCTATGTTAGGCATGCATACAAAATTTATTCATATGGTTTAAGTAAACAAAGTAAAAAAAACACACGCACACTCAAAAATAAATTAAAATAGTTTTTGTTAGGTATTGAGATGGCTGAAAATTTATAAATGCAACCATAGACACTTGAACTAAAAGTACAAAGTCATTTAGGGCTTATGCATCTTTCATTTATTACAGTGGACATTCCGCTTGATAAAAACTAACGGTGTAGGTAACTTATTACTGATACTTACCTTAAAAACCACATGTTTTAAATGTAGCCAGATTAATCACTTAAGGAAATTGTTTTAAAAAACACGTACTTGCGTCGTTAACGAGAATTCTGGTTAAACTTGTCTGGGAAGAACCCAGCTGGTCGCATGCATTGGTAGGGGGTCGCAATTTATTATGTGCGTAACTTTCCATCAAAATTACTTATGTTATATTAGCATGGATTAACCCTTGTTTCAAAGCCTGTGTGCTACGTAACCCAGTGACTTTGTTTGTTACTGTTGTGGAAGATTCTTATGGATGTTCTTAGAATGCCCATCAGCGCCTGGTGGCACCTTCTGCGGGTAGAAAGAGCACTGCTGCGTTCTCTCTCCCGTCCCGCCACATCCTTTTGGACATTAACTCCTCGAAGACCTCGGAAACACTGTCGCTCCAGATCACGTACAAAATCAAGGTTGGGAGCGATACACTACCTGCAGAACTGGCTGCTGCGATCAGATTACGACGCTGGCTGGCCCAAGCTGGGCATTCCGCCATCGTGTAAAGCGCCGTGTCGGCAGAGCAGTCATCACAATGATAGCACCATGACGTCGGCTCCCGGCCGATCCGACATAGGTACTTGACGAAGCAACCGTTTTCGGAAGCACCTGCGTCACCTACCTTTGCCATAAACTACATAACTCAAGAACTAGAATCGACGAATAGGGCAGGTTTTTTTGTTCTTAACGGCGCACTAGAGTCCACTTTTAGCCCAAAAATTCACACATTTTGTTTTGTTAATAGGTAGTTAGTTCAGTTAAAAATTACGTTCATTAAAATCACGATTAGATCTCTGTTATTGAACTTATTTTTGTTTATACCAGAATTGTTTAGGAGTATTCATATCTTGTGTAAAGTATGTATGAATACCTACGTATAACCCTACTTGGCTTATTGCGAAAACAAACACACTTAAGATTGAATTTATGGTCAGTTTTCAATCAGAACTAGTAGCTGGTAGGTACATACAAGATATTATAGTCTAACCTACCCTACGAATAAGTACCTAGTTGTAGCAAAACTTGTCGCAAAAACCGAAAAAAGGTATAATAAAGAAGGCACGTATAAAGACTTGTTAAAGTAAGAAAACGATACCCAGGTTTATTTTATACTCGTATACTCTTGTTATCATATTTGTAAATTTCCTTCACTGTAAATGGTATAAATATTGAAATAATAAAATAGGTTTTAATAAATGGGCATACGTTATACCTTAATCGAAATCATCTTGTGTCCCAAGCTTTACTATTTATTTGTCTTGCAAGGCGATATGCATATACGAATAAGTCCCTCCCCTCTTAAAAAATAAAATATTTGTTTACTTTATTGCTTTGCAAACTAATAACTTAATTCTACGTAATTTTGTCCGCTGTACACGTATGATACATCATACTAGTAACGATGTTATATTTATCTAATCAATTAGTTCAGTGGGCGTATTGTGGGTGGCGTCGTCTGGATTACTGACCTTTCAAGTATAAGACTAAAAGGAAGCCCTATTGCGAATATTATGTAAGTATGGTTGACCATTACACCTTTGCTACAAAGTACCATTACAAGAATATATAATTGGTCAGGGCTATCCTTGTTACCGTCTAGGTGACTATTAATTCGTTACTTCATGATATAGATAAGTCTTGTCTACTTTTAAAGCTGCTGCATTAAAGCATTGCATTGTTGCAATATCGCCGCGATGTCGTGTTGGCAACCAGCAAAAATTATAACTTCACTAGCAATAAATGTTGATACTACTCGTACTAATACTACTACTTGTGGTGTCAGCGTGGAATAAATGAATTATACCATTATTTTGATAGGACTATACTACAGGACATCTTTAAATGCAATATTTATAGGCCTGCGTCCGATCATTCCGGCCGGCCACTGCCATCCGGGACGGGACGCTGATCTTCTAAAATATTCATTTTAATGATATGCTGTAAAGAGCAATTTTAGCATTAAATTCACAACATATCTAAAGTATTTAATTGGATAAGGCATAATAATGTATTGTTTAATTTAAAATTCATCTGGTTTAATAGGTACAAAAAATCGTTTTTATATTTGCATAAAATGTTTTTTTTAGTATTATTTTTATAGTATAGTACTGTACGAGTACTTGAAACTTTTTACGCGTTCGTTTCTCAAAACCATGTTTTTTTCTAACTTTCCTCCATCATATCTCAAAAACGGCCTTGGCCCATTTACTTCAATTGTATAGGGCCTACTCAGTTCATCCTGACGCATCGAGTGGACTATTATCATCCCATCCCTGTTTTAATCTATATATCTAATCCCTAATCCTATTTTTTTTTGTATCAATAAGTTGGCAAAAATACATGAAATTCGGACTTTTTTGTTCCGAAGTCTGTCAAAAATCAAATTTTCAAAAAGTTTTTGATCGTAGTTCACTCGGTATATTTAAGTGTACAGATTAAAACCCCACCGGGTTTTTATATTTCAGATAAGCCAATCAGCTAATATCATGGAGGAAGTGGGCGTCCATTTTATCAAGGCGGGTGTCTTCAGACCGCTGTAACTTTGGTTCTACTGAATATTTTTAGCTAAAAATTAAACTGTATACTCTTCAAATATGTATAAATTAATGGAAAAAAGTTCAAAGTTCTATCACTTAATTGGTCTTTACAAAAGTGCTCAAAAATCAGGGAGTCAACCAGAGGACCCTCTTAAGATAGCTTCGTAAATAACAGTTTTTTTTTGTAAAATTTAAAAGATAAAAAATGGCTACTTCAACAAATCACCCTTAGAAAATAGACATATATCATCGTGGTATTTTTCGTAAATCTTTTTGGGATGTACATTTCACAAATGTAAGCGTTTGCAAGGTAAGCGCTCAAAAACATGTTTTTTACAACAAATCTTTGAAATTCTCGGATTTTCTCTACTATAATATGCATATAAACCTTTCTACATATAGATCTAAGGGTATAATACAAAAAACTTTATTTTTACTAGATTTTTATTTATTTTAAGATTTAAAACGAAGAATAATAACTGATTTAAACTGACCATCCTTCACATTATAGAAAAATAATTAAATACAATTCAAAATTCACATTATAATTTACCTAAATTATTTATAACATATATATTTGTATAACAGGTTGTTAATACGATCAATATTAAAAGCAATTAACAAAATTCCAATAATTTTAATCAGTCAATAAATGATATGACAATATTTACAGTCGTGTCAGTCTTATCTTAAATATTCTTTTTTCAATCTTCACGCACAAATGTTGCAAAGGAAGGACTTAACGCCGTAGGCATTTGCTACCAGTCGACTTTAAGGCGATGCAGAGCCAAACGTGGTAGATGCACAGAAGTGCAATTTATTAAAACTATTGCATATATATACGAGGGAGCGTTTTTATGTTCGCGGAATGGGGGATAAGGGGTGGAAATAAAAAAACCAAATTATTTTTCCTTTTCAAATATATTTACCTTCAAGACGGATACATTTTTCAGATCTTTAATTAATTTGTTTATACCCTCATAAAAAAATGTTTTCTCTTTGTCTTCAAAAATACGCCGAAACTGCCTCCTTGACTTCATCATCGTTGGTAATTTTTTTACCCCCGCAGCTCTTTTTTCATTTTTGAAAACAGGTAATAATCGCTGGGGGCCAGGTCTGGGCTGTAGGGTGGCGATTCCAAATATCGAAGCCCACCTTATGCAGGGCAGCCAACGCAACGCGGCTCTTTTGGACGGGCGCGTTGTCGTGTAAAAGCAACACACCTTTTGTCAATTTTCCCCGTCTTTTCTCTTTAATGGCTTCTTTGAGTCGCTCTAGTATTGAAGCGTAGTATTCTTCGGTCATAGAAACACCTTTATCTTTATAATCGATCAATAATATTCCTTCTGAGTCCCAAAAGACCGTTGCCATGAGTTTCCCAGCTGACTGTGACAACTTAAAACTTCTTGGGAGGTGCTGTGCCCTTTTTATGCCACTGCATGGAGTCTTGTTTCGACTCAGGTTCATAATGATGAACCCAAGTTTCGTCACCAGTAACAATTCTACTCAATACAGCATCCTTGTCATCATTACAAAGGTCTAAAAATGCACGTGAACACTCTAAGCGCTGTTGTTTTTGCGTCGGCGTGAGCATTCTCTGCACCCATCTTGCACTGACCTTTGTCATGCCAAAATGATCGTGCAGAATTCTAAAAATGATTGTATCAGATACTCCAACCATTTCTGCGAGTTGTTTCTTCTTTAGTCGAGCATCGTCGAGTACAATTTTTTCGACGTGTAATTTTAGCTCGCGTTGGCACCGAGCGGCAAGGCGGCCCGCGAGCTGAGGAGGAGTTGGTTTTAACGCTCGCCGCCGCCGCCGTGACAGATATGCTGCATATTTGCTGGCTTTAATATTATGATAAGAAATACAAAATGATGGATAGAAAGTCTTTCAATTATTATAGATATGAAATGAATGCCACAAGACGATTCTCACTGTAAACTTTGTGAGATTCTGCCATTGTGACTATCGACATGAAATTTATGAAATTTCGGCGATGTGATGCTTATACTTTTTAATTGTTATGGATATGAAGTTTATGTCTAAAGATGATCATGACTTAAAAAAATTTTAATTTGGAATCTATGAGAAATGTGTGTCTGCCAAACAATTTTCTGCGAAATGAAGTTTATGCTACCGTTGTTATGCAAAATAATAATAAAATATAAAAAGTTCTGCTATAAAGGGTAGACTCACTTAAATGTTACTAGGACAAGACCGGTTGAGCAACTGTCGTTATCAAAATAGTCATCACCAAGAATTAGGCTATGTTAATTTGTTATCGAATGTTCGTTAGTTTAGTAGTCACTTGATCGAGGGAAACCTGTTCGCATAGTCGAACTATCTGCGCCTCATTGCTTCTACTTACTTATTTTATTACTAGATTATTGTGTATCCGCATAACTGAGCAAGGTACCAGTAATAAATGTGCTGAGAAAAATTCAGCCTAGATTTATCA